TGTGTTACTACATGCACATATATACGGTAATAAATAGGCATTTACTCGGGAGCATATTCGCATTCTCGCAAACGTGTACATTCGCGCACATAACCACACAATGAATGAGCAGACTTGAAAGCAAACTAACCACCACATTGGCTGGTTGGCTGGGTTATTGCTAACTTATTTTCATCATTAGCCCTAGTTTGGTTGTATAATTACTCTAGTTCCTGTCTATGTCCTTGTATGTGCATGCATGTATGTATGTGTGCGTCTGTGTAAGGGTGGAATTGCCGAAAAATATCGCGTTTTGTTGTGCATAAATTACACAGATTTTAATTCTCTTATAAGATTGTCAGCCAGTTGGTCACTGTTGGAGCGAGTCCAGAGTTTCGGTTTCAATTCATATCTCTACGCCTAAATCTTCCCAACTCGTGCAGGTGTCTCGATGATGGGGTTAAATTGTGAGTGTGCAGCCTCCTCGTAACGGGCTGCAAAGTGGCCCCCACCTTAGCACACAATACCTCCATCTCTGTTTTGCGCTAACTCTTTATGCGGTAGGCATTCGCCCAACTACAAATCTATGGGATTCTTGTACCCAATCCTCTGTCATTGTTGCCATGTCTACTTCCGGTTTCAGACCGCTGACCGAGTACTTTCCTAGGCATAGTTGTCACCTTAAATATCGAATAATAATTCGTCAAAGATGTCGTTGTAGCCATCATTTCGTATGAAACGGTGAGTGGAAAGGATTTGTCGATTCGCATCACCGGAGGCTGAAGGAGTTGTAGCTCTAGGTTAATGCGACAAAGTCCTCTAAGCATCATCCCGCCAACCCGATGAAGGACAACTTCAAGTCAATCCTTCACACGTTGCTTCACACCAACAGGAAGTTATAACAAGATGAGAATATTTACAATCTAGCTCCTATTCATGACTCTCTAAAGACTGTAACGAACTGGCGGAGAAGCTTCTGAGATTATGCCAAGTCGACTGACGTATGTTTGAAATGATCATTTTTATTTTGGCAGAGCACGCAGGACTTCGAGGTAACCCTGAATAGAGGACAAAATTGGTAGAACCAGTTAAAGGAGGCTGCTGTATGAAGGCTATATTCACCATATTTCGTGAGATGGGATGAAAGTTTGGTAGTTGAGTTTTCCCACAATCAGTTGAGTAGACCTTACGTATCCATTGAATTTCACATAATTGTTGAGCTTACTTCTATTTCGAGTGGAAGTGTTGGGTGAAGAGATTCGAAAGTCGGTTCCACCAGAAGACGACGGCGGATCCCTCCTGACCAGCTGTCGATTGACTTTACTGGAA